TGCTACCCTCGACCACCAGGGGTTTCTTTAATCACATCTCCTCGTGGTTTTGCTAATGTCTTCTCGTTGACTAGCGCTTGGAGCCAAGCACAGATTCGCACATTTGGGGACGTGGGCCCCAAGGATGCCTGACCAGGGTGCCTGGGTACGTGGTGCCCCAGTGCCGTGGCGGCTGTAGGCCTGTCAGCATCTTGGGAACATGGTTCATGGGCACCCGTGTCCCGTGTTGAAACTCGCACCATGGTGGGCAGTGCCAGACAGCACGACCCCGAGGTGCTGGGCATTCCACGCTCTCTGGTTTGTCCCTGTGACCCTGCATGACCCGCCAGGACCCGCTGTGACCCGCTGTGATGTGCTGCTTATTGGTGTCTCCACGCCCTTACTTGACACAGACCCTGGAGGTCGACTCACAGATCTTCGGGTCTTGGCCTTGAGCCCCATGTTGCCCCGCGCAGGTTCCGCCTGGGCTGCCGTGTTCCTGTCACCACCGGGTCCCCGGGACTGGAGATCTTCCCTGTCCCCACTGGCCCTTCTGTTTCTGTCCCGGGCCTGTCGGGAGGGAGGGTTTGCCCTGTGGCCGGGATCCAGCCCAGTGGGGGCCAGCCCAGGGCCGACTCCAGGAGTGTCAGCGTCGAGCTCAGAGTGTGGCGGCTGCATCCCCCGTGTCCATGACGTTCAGGACGCCAGCGCGGGGCGCGGCAGCAGCACAGAATGCCAGGAGGTGGGATTGGGTGCTGGCCGCTCTGCTCCTGACCCGAGTCTCCGGCTCCAGTCCCTGGCTCGTGTCCCTCCAAGGGCTGGGGACAGCTTAAGGACAGCTGTCTGAGGCCCTCTCCAGGCCAGCGAGCCCCTCCTGACGAGCGAGGGCCCCTGCTTCCCCCCCGGGCTGATGGAGAGCTTTGGTCCCCACTGGGGCTCCCAGCAGTCGGTCACTGTCATTGGTGTGGCCGCACCTGGCAGACGCCCTGCAGCAGGACCCGGTCAGGCTGGACCTCGGGGCCTGGGATTCTGGACTCCCACAGAAGGAAGGGGCTTCAGTCACTGGACCAGCGGGTTACAAGGCCTTCGACCGTAAATCTCAATTTAAAACGATTTTACGTAGAATAGCGCGGTGAACCTGAGAAAGAATTTGGCACAACTTGCTTTTAGGACACACTTGTGGTCCTTCCAGTGACTGGGCTCGGGTCTGGGTGGTGGCAGGCCTCCTTTGGGGACCGTGCTGGAACTCTTGGGGGGCCGGTGTCCTGCCCCCAGCCTGGGCTGCCTCGGGGCGCACGTGAGAGTTGACAAGCCGGGACGTGCTCACGTGGACTCCAGCTCTGGCGGGGAGGCTCCCGTCCACACCGGCCCAGGGCCCTGGACACCGAGGAGGCCCCCAGGGTCCAAGCACACACCTGCGAGTCCTGATCCACAAGTGTTTCCTGCGGCAACCCTCCCGAGTCCCGGGGCCCCAAATCATGGCCCTGGGTGGGTGATGAAACCTCAGGGAGCAGTTTCTGTGAAGTCTGTAGGGAGAGGGGAGCAAAGGGTGCTCAGCTCGTAGGGAGTTGCTGTGGTCTTGGGGCAGCACCTGAGGCCAGGCCAGCCCAGAGCCGGCGCCTCGACGGACCATCACAGTGAGGGGGCCGACACCGGGCTCTTCCCTGTGGGGCCAAGGTGGGTGTCCCCAGCCCCTTCCCCTGGGGGCAGGTGCAGTGCCCGGCTCGGCTCCAGCCCACGGCCTGTGAAGCAGAGGCCTGGGGCTCCGCGGTGGCTGTGGTCGCCGGTGATGGAGCTGGGACACGGCTTCTGGGCGCGGCTTCAGCCCTGGTCCTCTCTCTGCTGGCACACGCCCTCCAGGGCCCTGATCTGACGGAACTGCCTGCAGGGCTCCTGATGTCCTGGCCGGTGGCTCCCAGACCCATCCCCAGCCCTGTCGATGCGTCCCTGACCGTTGCTGTCCTGGGCTCCGGGGGACAGTCGGGGCTGTGGCTCGGCCACCAGCAGGGCCCTGAGGCAGGCTGCGGGCGTGAGCGTGTCTGTCCCCAGCCTGGCCCTGCAGAGACCCCGCACACCCGCACGCCCTCACAGACAAGGCTCCCTTAGCAACCCGAGCCGGTTAGCTCAGTAAGCGCCGCAGTGGGGGACACTCCCAAGGTGGGAGAGCGAAGTGTCTGTGGTTCCTCCCACGGCTGCCCCAGGACTCTGACCTGCCGTCCCAGGCACCTGCTTTGGGTCTCATCTCAGTGTGGATGCACACACGGAGCATGTGGGGGGCCTTTGGCGGCCTTGTCATTCCGAACCCCAGCACCCCTGCTCCGTAGGGTATGGCTCAACATTGTGGCCCCTGGGGGTGATGGTGCCAGGCTGACGGCTCCTGGTTACACCCTGCCTGGGTGAGGGGTGCTCTAGGTCGTCCAGACCCTGCCAGTCCCCACGCTGCGGCCCCTCCTGGCCATCCCCATAGACGTGGGGATCTAGGTTCAGGAGCCTCCATGTGCCCGGGCAGGCTTCTCTCACAGCTTGGGGGCTGGTGCCGAAACACTGGCCTTCGGTGGGGAGTCGCGTGGCTGGTTGTCTGCTTTATTAGCAACTGGGGCTCGCGGTATCCAGGAAAGTAGGAGACAGGTCTCTGCTGCCCACTGACATAGCCAAAGGGGTCTGGAGTCAGGCTGGGCGGCAGTGAGGAACAGCTCCATGTCCACCGGCAGAGCTTAAAAGAGCGGCCAGGACAGAGGGACAGAGGCCTCCCAGCTGCAAATCACAGCGTCGGACGGCCTGTGAGTCCCAGCGTCTTTGTCATGGCCTGCGGACCAGCTCAGGTGCTCAGCGTGGCTCCCCGTGATCACGTCTTCGAGGCTTTATCCACTGTTGTCACAAGAGAACTGTTCTCTCCATCCCAACATTTTTCCTTCTGTTGCATTTGTCTACTTACCCTGTTTATTTTTACTTCATTCTCTGTGCAGTATGTAATTTTTTGTGTAATTAGCTGATGGAAGTCCAAATGTGCAGCCGAAACCTTCCAGGGAGGTGGCGCTGGGGCAGTGCCCCCAGTAGGGTTTTGCTCCGCACGGGGAGGGGTCCCAGCGTCTGGGGAGGAGGTGCCCAGGAGACCCCCACTGGCCTCCTGTGCCGTGCCCCCAGCAAAGCCCGTTGATTCACGGCAGGCTCTGGTCACTGCACGCAGCCCATGTGGAGCCCAGGGCTGGGTGTGCCCGGTGCCCGCCACCAATGCCCCCGTGACTTTTGGCTCTCACCCAGACGCAGCACCCCCAGGGGTCGAGTGTGGCCTGGGCAGCTCCTAGCTGGATGGAGTGGGTGGCTACTCCTCGTGCTTCGTCCTGCCGACTTGGGTGACCCCTGCTTTGGACCCAGCTCCTGGCTGGGCTGGAGACCCTCCAGGTGACACAGGTGAGAGAAAAGCAGGGTGGTCTTGTGCAGTGAGCTGCTTGGAGGACCCAGGGCCTGCCTGGGGGAGGGCCCCGCAGTGACAGCAGTAGCGTGGACGAGGAAGGACACCAGGGCTCAGAAACACCACCCGGGAGCCCCAGGGTGCTGCCTGTTCGCCCTCGGCAAGGAGGGAGCGGCCCCTCTCCCCACCTGCCCCTCGGGCCCCATGGCTGGGTGTCATTTCCTCATTATTCCCTTGTTCTGAGGGGCAGCCCACCCCACCCCGCACTGTCCCGTCTCCCTGCTGGCCCCCATGTGACAGACAGGCGGGCTGCGGCCCCTGCATCCGGGCATCTGTATGAGGTTGTGCTCTCAGCTGGGGGGAGCCCCTCGGGGCACCGTGCCATCTGCTTTGCTCGCATCTGGGTTCCAGGGTCCGACATCACAGACAGCATGCAGTAGGTGCTTACTATCTGCTGAGGGAATGGATGTGCGAGGCCGTGAGTCAGTGGGACCTTGGTGGTTCTCCGGAGTGGGCATGCAGGGAGAGGCCGTGGCTGCGTGGCCAGGGGGCAGCCAGTGTCCCGGCCCGGGGATGGACCGGTGCTGCATGGCAGAGTGAGGGACGACCTCCTGTCTCCCACGGGGCGAGGTGGCCGGATTTCATCTGGTCTGTCCTCCGTCCAGAGCTGACACCATTTTTATCGTCCGAGTCAGCTTTCGGCACTTAGCGGAGGCCACGCTGGTACTCCAGGCAGAGGAACGTCCTACGGAAGGCGGGGTTCTGTGTCTGCTGGGATGTGGGCCCCATGGGCCCTCGGCCAGACAGGCGCCCCCGCTGTGATTTAGGAGACGGGAGGGGGAGGTCACTTCACTGGTTGACTTGTCCCCTGCAAAATCAGCGTGTCCCTTCTCTGCATTCTGTGCTGGCCCAGAGACAGACCAAGGACCCTGCTATCCCCAGTCCTGTGCCCACGAACTGTGGGGAGCTGGGGCCATGTCCACATGGGAAAGCAGGAGAGAGGGGCACATCCAGTAGCCTGTGTGTGCATCTCACGTGCTAAGTGTGCGAGTGTGTGCACACCAGCCTGTGGGGGGGAGGGGCGGCCGCGGACGGCCCGGCGTGGAGAGTGACAGCCGCGTCCCTGCCACTCTCAGCCAGCCCTGTACCAACAGGGAGTTTCTCCCTCACCGCCTTTAACAGACCCGGGGGAGGGTCCTCGCTGAATCCACCGCCCTCGGGCCAGGTGGGCGCAGAGACCCCAGGGCCCAGCGTGGGTTCGGATCTCCGTGCTGTGCGCAGTCTGGTTCCTTCCATCAGATGCCCGGCAGCGTGACGTGGCCCTTTCATTTCCGGGCGTGACAGATGGGGCCACGTTTAATTTCCTGCCCGTCCCGGTGGGGCCTCGCATGCCACCGTGGGGCCGTGTACAGTGGAGGTCGCGGGCATGACCCGGCGCCTGCTCCCTCGGCGCGTGTTTCCGCCGACGTCCTTGAAGGTGTCCGAGACGGGTGCTCTGGAGAAGCGGCCTGCCTCCCCGCGGCCAGCAGGGCGCCTCTGAGGCTGGGAGGGCTGGGCGGCTCGTCCCCCAGCCTCACACACTCAGCGCATGCCTGTGCCTCTCTTGCAGGTCAGCTGGCTGCCGGCACATGTGAGATTGTGACCCTGGACCGGGACAGCAGCCAGCCTCGGAGGACGATCGCCCGGCAGACGGCTCGCTGTGCCTGCAGGAAGGGGCAGATCGCGGGCACCACGAGAGCCCGGCCCGCCTGCGTGGACGGTAAGAGCCCACGACCAGGGACCCCATCGAAGGCAGGGGCAGCGAGGTGCCGCCCGACACAGCCCACCCCACCCCTACCCCAGCCCGGGATGTCTGCAGAGGCCTCCTGTTCTCCTGGTCAGGCCTAGGGCTGGACAGTCCCCATGGGGTGACTGCTCCCCGGGCAGCGTTGGCTTGTCTGCAGCGTGGTGTCCGCGGGGCTGTGGGTGGCGGGAAGCCAGGGTCCCGGGCAGGCCTGCGGGACTTCCTGGCCCCTTGGTGCTGCCGTGGGCAGAGGGAGCAGATCCCAGGCCATGCTGTCCGCCGCTGTGGCTGGGGACGCGGTGATGTCCGTCCCCTGTGGCTTCTCGCTGAGGCTGCGTGCAGGGGGTGGGCTTCTCCTGCTTCAGGTCTGGCAGGCGACAGGCACCCGCGGGCCGGCCACATCCCCCTCGGGCGGGCAGGAGGTGGTGATGGTGTCCCCACGGCCACCGAAGTCAGGCTGTCCGACTGCCAAGATGCGCCATGCTAACATCCTTGCAGAAGGAGCTCAGAAAGGCGCCTCGTGTGAGGTGGTACCTTTGGGGACTGTCTTTGAAACAGAATCACAGACATTCTCGGAAAAGTGCAAGGAAGCCCTCAATGCACTGGGGCATGTGCACTGGTCGAGGAGGCCGCTGTGGGCTGTCCAGTGTGAGACCGGGCACCCTCGGTGCACAGCGGGGCCTCCCCATGAGCTGGGAGCACCAGAGGCAGGCGGGGCTCTGCCCAGAGCCCTGTGACCAGAGCAGGCAGCCTTGCGGGGCTCCTGTGGCCAGGCCGACAGCAGCTGTAGGCTCCCTGGGGTGGGGAGCCCCACGCAGGGGTGTGCTGAGGCCTTGGTTCCTCGGGGCCTGTAGGAGGTGTGGTCACAGCCTGACAAGACAGCCAGGTCCCAGCGGTCAGCCGTGCCCTTCACTCCCGAGCAGCCTCTGCATGGGGCTCTGGGTGCCTCCCCGGTTCAGCTGCCTTTGCTTGGGAGCCCATTTCCTGCTGACCTATGACCCTGAGACACACGCAGCCCTCGGGAGGGTCACCTGAGGAATGACAGCAGGTGCCGAGCAGGGGCTGGGACACCTTCAGGGCTCAGAGCACATGAGCTTGGAAATTCACTTGCTTCGGTGGTGGGGCCGCTTTGGGAGTGAAGACCCTAGTGTCACTGGGGGCAGGTTTCTAACAGGCCAGGCGGGTCCCAGGGTGGCCCCCAAAGTCAGAAAGTCCCCGGGGAAGGCAAGAGTAGAGCCACAAGGCCACCTTGGGGGATGGAGACTGATTGGCTGATCAGCTTGGGGTCCCCGTGCCTCCAGCATCACCGATGATCCCCTGTCCTGGGACTGTCTGGGATCATGGAGGGGCAGTGAGTCTGCTCTGGAGCTCCGGCCCCTCTGGGCCTCTGGCAGGGCAGGGGAGGGGGGAGCAGGCCCAGCCCAGCCACGCCCAGTCCAGATGCCCGGGGCACCTTTGGGGCTGAGCTGGCGTCTCCGCCTGGCCAAGGGGGTCCTGCGGTACCCAGAATACCCTGGAGGCCCAGCCAGGCGCCCGGCTGACCGCCCCGCCCCCCCCCCCCGCCCAGGCCCTGCGTCGGCTGCCTTCTGGCCTCCACGCCCTGAAGGGCTCTCTGGGGAAGCGGGGGCCAGAGGCAGGTGGGAGCGTCTCGAGGATCTGGCGCTCGTCATGGAGGCCGGCTTTGTTTTGTCTGTCCGTATTAGAAACGTCTATCCGTGGGCATCCGGGGGGAGGTGTGTGCCTGAGCCAGCAGGGGTGTGGCTCCTACACGCGGCTATGGATTCAGGGCCTCCGCGCTGCCGAGCCTGATGCTGGGTGAGCTTGGGCTGGCCTTCCTGACTCCCAGGTGCATTCGTCCCTGCGCGTCCCGCCCCGTCCGGCTCCCCAAACTGGAACAGGTTGCCTGTGAGGCGAGCACACCTCCCTGCTGACACTGACCGATTGTGCCCCGGGCCGGGCGAGGGGCGCGCGGCCCAGGCGGACCCTCACAGTCGCGCCCCCGCCTCTCTCCTCATTAGTCCCGTGGGCCTGTGGGGAGATTTGGGGTCAGAACTGATAACTAATTGAATCTGAGTCTGCTCATGTGAAACCACTTCTTGCTCCTCTCCCGTGAGCCCTCCCGCGCCTCAGGAGCCGGGTCCCAGGGACCCAGATTAAAACCTGGCTGCTTCCAGGAGAGGCCCGACAAATTACTTGGCTCGTATTCTGCACGGTGGGCATTTTCCTGGCTGCCGCTTAATTTAATTTTTGCTTTTCTATTTTCCCTGCTCTGTGCGCGTAAGTTTCCTCGCGCGTGGTGGTGGCTGGGAAAGAGAAGACTTGAGCCTTACTGGGTTGGTTGGAATCCGTGTGAGCCTGGTTTGAACTGGGACGTTTTGGGCTGGCCCTGCTGTTCGTCCAACAGGGGAGCTTGGACGAGTGGTGCACACCAGCGTTTGCGCACCTCTTTGTTCATTTAGCAATTGACTTGTTGCTAATTCATTCATTCCCTCATTCATTCATTTATTTGGATACAGTGTGTGCTCCGGGGGGATTGACTCTGCTGCAGGGTTGGGGCCCAGAAGGTGGGGCAGGGACTGTGAGACCCCAGAGCACAGTTGTCTCTTTCTGTCCAGGGCACTGGTGAGGCAAGGGAGGATTTGGGCAAGGTCTTGAGGAATGAAGAGGAGCTCGCCAGGGAAGCTTTTCTTCCTGAAAGGAGGGGGCAACTCTTGGCTGCATCTCTGAACCCCAGGTGTTTTCTGGGAGGACATCTCCCCAGCCTGTATTTGGCAGTGCTGTGACCCGCTAGACCTGTGTGGGACAGGAGGCTCTGAAACAAACCGCAGTCCTCTCTGCAAGGCCGTGCATCCTCAACACAAACACGGGCGTTCCAGCTTGCCTCCGGGGCTGTCCCTGTCATGGGCAGCGCAGTCAGTGCTGTCCGGGTGCGCCGGGCCAAGCTGCCTCCACCCGCAGTGGTGGCTCCGTGAAGCCCCGGGCTCCCCTCACCCCGTCGGCAGGAACATGCAGGCCCGTTGCTTCCGCAGGGCTGTAGCGAGGACCGGGGCCCTGGCCCCACACCGCAGCCCTGTTCGGCAGGCAGCAGGAAGCCACCGATGCCCATGGTCCTCCTCAGGGAAGCAGCCTCTGTCTTTGTATGGGGAGGCTCTTCCTCCCATCAGCTGGCTTCTCATGAAATTTTTGAAAGGAATCAAAGTAAAGAAAGGAGGTGATGCCTGGCCCCCAGCCGTGGGGGGAAAGGAGAAATGTCCCTGGGAGCCTGGGGTGGGGGCCCAGTGTCTGAGCTCCACACAGGCCTCTGGTGAGGGCCGAGGAGCAGGAGGGTGACCAGGGTTGGCACTCTGTCTGGAGAGGCTCCAAGGAAGTGACCGGTCCCGTCAGTGCCCAGCCAGCCGCCAGGCTCTCCGACATCCTTGCCAGGCCCCCCTGGCCGAGAAGCCCACCTGTCTTCCAGGGGGGACCTTGCCCTTTATTCCTGAATGGGGAATAGGGCACATCGTGTGCCCTCACGGGAAGTTCAGAACTTGTAATATGCCCCTCCTTTCCAGGGGAGCCTGGGGTGCCAGGAGTCCCGGGGATGGAGTGGAAGGTCTCATCTGCAGTTCCCTGTGCGCTGGCAGGCTGAGCCCCCGTCTTCATCCACAAATGGGAGGTTGTCAATTCTGCACGTGAGGTACGACGTGTTGACGCCTTTGCTAAACCCCTACCTGCTTTACCCGACTTAAGGAACCAGCATCCCCCGTACGTTCTTGCCAGCAGTGGGTGAGACCCGTGTCCCAGGTGCGGCCTGGGTGCCCTGCCGACGACACGCGGAGCAGGGCAGACGTTGGAAAGGTTTGTGCACAGATGGGTGCTGCAGAGCATGGGGTCCTCCGTCGGGGGGGAGGTGAAGGTCCAGAGATAAAGCCGCACGATTTCTGTCAGCTGACTGTTGACAAAGGTGCCGGGACCGCTGGAAGCCACATGCACTGCAGCAAAGCTGGACCCCTTCTCCCGCCGTGGACGGAAGCTAACGGGACATGAATCAGAGATGGAAACTATAGAAGTCGTAGAAGAAAACAGGGTGAATCTTCACGATCTGCGTTTGGTGAAGGAGTCTTAGATCTGACACTAAAAGCATGAGCAATGAGAGAGAGGAGAATGGCTAAGGGTTCCACGAGGGATGGAGTGGCCCGGCCACGTGACAGCTCGACGCTGGGCTGGACCGGTTCCCAAAGCAGCTGCACAATTCTGCTTTCCCACCCGCGGCGCGTGAGGGTCCTGATTCTCTGTGTGCTCCCGGCACTCGGGACGTGCTTCGCAGGACACCACTGGGAAGGAGGAAAGACAGCCCACAAGAGGGGAGAGAGGATTTGCACATAACACGGCCGGGCCGTTCCGTCCCTCGTGGAACCCCGGGTGCTCACTGAAGAGCAGGGAAAGTGTGTGTCCACACGAACCCTTGCACACGGATGTTCTCAGCCCCGTAAACCTGCTGGACCAAGAGTGGAAACTCCCCAAATGCCCATCAGTGGATGAGTGATCGAGCGTGTGTCCGCGTAATGGAACACGACTGAACCGTAAGAAGGAGCGACCTGCGCTACAACGTGGAGGGACCCTGAGTCAAAGCTGCCGGACGCAGAAGGACAGACACGGTGTGAGTCCGTTGACACGAGTGTCCAGAACAGGCAGATCCCTAGAGCATGAAAGCAGATGAGTGGGTGCAGGGACGCTGGCGGGCGGGCAGGACGGGGAGCGATAGGCAGCGAGCACCGGGCTGTCCCAGGTGGTGAGCGTGCTCTCAACTACCGGTGGGGGCACAGCCCTGAACACACACGAGGGACTACGGGGCGACGCACTCCAAGTGGGTGAGTTGTAGGGTGTGTGAGTCACGGTGTGGGGGTGCTCGCAGCCTCCCAGGGTGAAGATGGGCTGGCGGGGCCGGCGGGAGGCTCGGGGCCAGCACTGCCCCATCCACCCTGGTGGCGAGGACA